CAACATCCCTTCCACGGATTCCACCTCTTGGGTCCCCTTCTTCCTCCGGGAGAAGTCTTTACTGCTGTCCTTTAATAAACTTCTAATTTCTACTCGGACCTTGCCTCGGCGTGCTTCTTTGGTGTTATTCTTCAACACTGGGGAAGCAAGGACTCGTCACCGGTCAACAGCGGTAACAGTGTGACCCAGTGGAGAATGTTCAGGTCACTGAGGGTGTACCACAGAAAGGGACTGTGGGACCCTAGTCTCTTATCATTCCTCTTCACTTCTCAGCCACAAGGTGAACACTTTTGCTCTACCACACATTTCTACCATGTTGTGCTTGCTCACCCAAAGCAACAGGTCAACTAATTATGGACTAAAACCTCTAAAACTCTTAGCCAAAATCAAACTTTCCTCTAAGTTGATAATATCCAGAATACATAAGGAAGTTCTACAAATGAATAACATAGAGACAACCAACCCAATTCAACAATGAACCAGGGACTTGAATAGATATTTCTCCAAAGAAGGAATATGAATAGTCAATAAACACAAGAAAAGATATTCAATATCATTAGTTTTTAGGAAAGTGTAAATCAAAAACACAATGAGGGGTTGAGGATGCAGCTCAGTGGTAGAATATCTGCTTAGCAGGCATGAGGCTCTGGATTCAATCCCCAGCACCAAACAACAAAAACAAAAATACAACCACAATGAAATACCTCTTCTCTCACCTTTTAGGATGGCTATATTTAGAAAAAAGAAGAACGTAAAATTGTTGATGAAGATGCGGAAAAATCAGAACCCTTGTAATACTGCTGGTGGAAACGTAAAGTGGTGTAGTCACTCACTGCTCCTCAAAAAGCTATATGCTGAATTAACCATATGACTCTATAATTCTACTCTTATTTATATACCCCAAAGGCCCAAACACAGGGACTCAACCAGATACTTGTATAAAAATTATGTTTGAAACACTATTCACAATACTCAAACAACCTAAGTGTCTGTCAACAGATGAATGGATAAATAAAATGTGGTTTGCGCTTTTTATATTATTCATCCAGAGAAAAGAATGAAGCTCTGGTATATGCTACAACATGGGTGAAGCCTGACAACATGGTTTTCAAGGGAAGTAAGCTAAGTGAAAAGAACCCCTATTATATGAAATATATATGATAGACAAATTTATTAAGTTTCCAGTGGATGGGTGCTGCGCCCCTCCCCTGACTCAGGCAATGGCAAGGCCCTACTGAGGTGGAAGGCACAAGGCGTCCATTCTCTGGAGGAGTGCAGTATGCTTCTAGGAATTGGCTGGTTTGTTTTTGTATTCTTTTAATAAGTATAGTTGCGACTTCTCATATGACCATTAAGTATGAAGGAAAAAAAGTGACTTTCCCAATTAATGCAACTACTTCTAAAGAATAAATCTGTTTGCTCTAAATGCAACGATTCAGCTGTGGAATGTAAATTGTTAATGTTTAATGAGAAACCCCCTGTAGGAAAAACAGTCAAGGAAGTTTTTGAGAAATTAAATTAAATCTAGAGAAGAAGAATTAATATTAAGAAGAAAGATTAGTGCTTAGTACTGGGCAACTTGTTCTTGTTCCTGTGCACAATGGTTTGTGCTCTTGCTCTTGTTTGATTAAAATTAGTAGCCTCTCTTTTCAAGTGAACCACTTGCCATAACCGCGGCACCGGTTCTAGTCAGTAAGTCAAGAAAGAATAGTCAAGGTATAGGCCAATAGTCTGGGACATTTCTAACTATTATTAAAAGCTAACTAAGCAGAAACAGCTCAAAGCAAAACGGGAACTGAAAGTAAAAATGCTTGCTTATGCATAAGCCAAGATACATTCTTCTTATCTAGTTGTAGCTATGTAAAATTTTGTTTCTTTGAATAATGATTCCTGTTTTGTAACCACAAAATTCTGTGAGCCTGCCAAAACGCAAAGTATATATGATTAACTTCACAAGTAAAGATTGGGATTCAGCACCTTCACTTTTGTGTCTGTGTTGTTTCTCCACCTCCTTTAGGTGACTCCTCACCATCCATTTGTCTCCTGAGACCCCCTGCCAGAGCTGGACTCCTACAGTTGGGAGGAGGGGAGAGTGGGAAGTTATTGTTAAATAGTGTGTTAGTGTTCTATCACTGTGACAAAATACCTGAGATAAATCAACTTGAAGAAGGAAATGTTTATTTTGGCTCATGGTTTCCGAAGTCTCAGTCCACAGTTGATTGGCTTTCTTACTTTTGGGCCTATGTCAAGGCAGCATATCATGGCAGTGAGCATGAGGGGGATTGGCTGTTCACCTCACTGTAGTGGGGAAATAGAGAGGAAGGGGATGGGATCAGGGTACTAATATCCCTTCAAGGGCATGCCTCCAATACCTAACTTTCTTCACCTAGACCCAATCTCCTAAAGATTCTACCACCTCCCAGTACACCATGGGCTGGGGACTAAGCCTTCAACATGTGTGCCTTTGGAGGACATTCAAGATCCCTAGGATAGCAAATGGGAACACAGTTTTTGTTAGGTGTGATGAAAAGTTTTTGGAAATAAATGGTCATAATGGTTGTACAATACTGTGCACATAATCAGTGCCACTGAATTGCACACTTTAAAATGGTAAATGGCAAATAACATCTCACAGGCACGTACACACACACACACACACACACACACACACACACACATGCTATTAAAAAAAAATCAGTTTCCCAAAGGAAAGTGGATGCTGTTAACAGGAGGGCAAGAGCTATCATTAAATGATATCCAAAAATTACCAGCTCTTTGATAGCTTAGCTAATTTGCTTGGCCTTAAGGTAGTTTCACTATGTTCCATTTTATTCTTAAATAAAATATGGGGAGTTGAGAAGAGGAAATGTATAACTGGATTATCTGCCTCCTTGCCTAAAATACCTAATCCTATTTTTGCATTTCTTCAACTTAAAGATGAAATGAAAAAATGGAAATCTTCAAGCCCCTAGAGGTGATGCTTGTCATTGATACTAACTCTAATCTCATTTTGAGAGCACAGACATCCTCCTAAAACTCAGAATACAAAAAGGTCACATCTCACATGTTGGCAATAATTGCAACGATACCAGATTAGCAGGAAGTTATTTTCTTTCCTTTTTAAAACGGCCTTCTACTAAATTGTCCTAGAGTCAACCACCATTCAATTTACAAAGTTCAAAAAACCCAGGGATTGTAGGCATTCCAGCTTCCAGTCCCAAGCAGAAAGCTGCTGGCTCAGTCCACATCTGTGATTTCTCCTATCTACCACAAGGTGGCGGTGCTGTACCACAGTCATGCATGACCAAGGACCGGGTACTAAAGCTCCCTACACTTGCTTTTCTATTCCAAAATGAAGATGACCTCTAGGATTTGGGCTCACAAGATAAGGATGCCCGGTTTTCTGGCTGGGGAGCACACAGCGTTATGAGGGCATCTCAGGCCATATTCCCACCTCTGAATACCAGGAATTCACAGCAGCAGCACACAGACCAACCTGACTCAACACTGTGATGTTTCACTGTAGGTAAAAACTCAAAAGAAATCTAAAACCCAAAGCCTTAAATCTAAGCAGGAAAGAACCAAGAACTGACATGGAGTACAATCAACAGCAAGTTTCACTAGGAACATTATAAACGCAGGCAAAAGCTTCTCTCTGCTCTAAGCATGAATAGACCATCCCAGGACACCAAAAACAAGCTTGGAGAGGGCCAGGGTCCTTGGGAGGGGCCACAATGGCAGGTGGGCTACCAAATAAGGTGGCACCAGAAAAAGGCTGAAAAAAGAGACAATTAGCCCAAACTGCTCACCAGTACCCTCTAAACTCCCTCCCACCCACCAACTAACCATAGGCTCTTTCACTTTCTTGGGGATGTCCTTCAGCCCTGAACTTAATTGTGTCAATTAAATTTCTTTTTTTAACCCATACACCTTTTTTTTAATTTATTTTTTTTATTGGTTGTTCAAAACATTATAAAGCTCTTGACATATCATATTTCATACATTAGATTCAAGTTGGTTATGAACTCCCAATTTTACCCCAAATACAGATTGCAGAATCACATCGGTTACACATCCACATTTTTACATAATGCCCTATGAGTAACTGTTGTATTCTGCTACCTTTCCTATCCTCTACTATCCCCCCTCCCCTCCCCTCCCATCTTCTCTCTCTACCCCATCTACTGTAATTCATTTCTCTCCTTGTTTATTTTCCCATTCCCCTCACAACCTCTTATCTAGCTTTCCCCAACACCTAGCAAAACTACACCACACACCAACACAGACAATCGACACAGATACAGCCAGAGAGATCATTTACATCACCGCAGATCCTTTTTATAGCCACAGCCACTTCCCTCCCTAACTCCTGGCAACCGCTAATCTGCTCTTCATTTCTATAATTCGTCCTTTCAAGAAATGGAATCATACAGTACGTAACCTTTTGGGATTGGCTTTTTTCACTCAGTGTAATTCCATGGGGATTCAAGCCGGCTGTCGAGTGGATCCACAGCTCATTCCTTTTTATTGCTAAGCAGCATGTTACGGATCCTCCTTTGTTTTAATCTGGATACACACCAGGCTTGCGGGAGGAGGGCTCCTCCACTGCTCGATGCAGCACCTGTCCCAGCCCAGCCTCCAACAGCGCAGAGCCAAGGCGCGCCTCCTTATTATCAGAGGGGCGGGGCGACGTGCGGGGTGGAGCTTGTTGCGGGGGCGAGGGGGCGTGCAGGGTGGAGCTCGTTCTTGGGGCGGGGCCTCAGGGAGAGGGCGGGGCGCCTCCACGCCGAGTTGGCAGGGGGCGAGGGTGCTCCAAAGCGCAGCCGCGGCGGTACAGCGAGTGGAGCCTGCGAGGGCAAGGTTGGGTAGCTGGAAGCTGGCGCGCACACGGAGTGTCCTTTCAAGGACGCAGACGTGCGAGCCTTTCCGCCACTTACCAGGGCGCGCTGGCCAGAGAGTGAGTGCCCACCGGCCAGGGACCTGGGGGCTGGGGAGGGACTGCAGGCCATAGAGGTCTCTGGCTTACAACTTGCCAGCTAGACTGTAGATGTGTGTCCCCGTGGTTCCTGGCACTCCGGGTCCTGGACCGGTTGGAAAAAATTATCTCTTACCTCTCCCTGGGCGCCACCGCATGCCAGGCACAGTGCTTCAAACGAATGATCTCGTTAATGTGCCCTCAGCCCTGTGAAGTAGGTGACCGCATTATCCTCATATTACTAATAAGGGAGCAGGGAACCCGAGAGCACCATTCACGAAGGGTGCCATCCTTTACCGAAGCGCCACGGAACCGCTGTAGTTTGGCTGTGCTTTCAAAAACATTGTGGTAATCTGGGGGGCTGGGGGGCGGGATCTTCCTAACCAGTAATCTCTGAAAATAACAGCTTCTGTGAACTTTAATCTCTGGAAACCTCAGCCAAAGAAAAGACATGAAAAGAAACTTGTATAAATCATACAGACTTCTAATAGTGCTAGGTATAGTTCTGGGGTGGGGAGAGGAGAGTAACCTAAATGAGCACAAAAGGGCAGCAGACAATGGCGTAGCTACACAAAGAAATGTCTAGCTGTTCCAGTGACCAGTGTGGGGCCTGACTGTGGAAAGAGACTTAGGAAGTAATAAAGTGAAAACTTCATAAAATAGCATTTGGATGCATTAAGATGAAATGATGTTTATGTCAAAAATAGAACACATTTGGTGTGGTATGTGTAGTTTAAAAGCACATGACTCTTCCTGTGGACTTGGGTAAAACTTTTATCCTTTGTTGGTTTCCAACAAAGGTGAGTTGTTCTTGCTGTGGATGGGGTGCCTGAGGGTGAAGAGCCTGTGTTGGAGATTTGTTTATTTTGAACAAGTCCCTCATTTGTGGGCCTCAGTTTCTTATTCTTAACCTCTAGACGAAGTGGATGATTTGGAATTGGGAACCCAGATTACTAAAGTGGCTTGAACGGCCAAGACATGTGATAGAAATATTTCACCTGAGCCAAGCAAGACATAGGGAGTGGTGAGGCCTGGGAATGCTGAAAAATGCATAGGGTGCCAGGAAGCATTTAAATGGAAGCATTTGATCCAAATCAAGATGTCTCTGGTCCCTCAATTTGACAATCTCAGGCTGAGCATCTCTGAGTCTGCAGTGACACTGGGAACCTTTCAGTACTACTCTTCTACTTAAGAGGCTCCAGTGGCTTTTTGCTAGGCTTAGGATAAAAGTTTTGTCCCTTCCCTATAAGGTCAGCTTGGTTGGACCCCACTCAACTCTAACTGTATCCCCTATATCTCTTAAACAAACCAACAAACGAAACTGAAACTAAAAACCATAGTTCAGCCAAATAGTCCTTCTAGTTCCTCAAACCTTTCAGTAGAGTCCCCACTTCAGCACTTATTTGCTATTCTGTCTGCCTGGACCCCATATTTTTGCATGGCAAACTGCATATTCACTGTCCCTGTTTGGAGACCCCTTCTTGAGCTCCCTATCTAAAATAGCAAACATACTCCTGCCCAAAGGTATTTTATTTTCTTAGCACTATCACTATTACTTATCATCATCATTAGTACATATCTCTGTCTGGAATTCTGTGCCTTCCTGTTTATTGTCTCTCCCCCCACCCACCAAAGAGTAAGGGTTCTATTTTCATCTATTTTGTTCATCTCTGTAGCCTTAGCACCTGGGTGCAGTATCCAGCCAGAGGGTCAGTTCCACCTTTTTGGCTGCTATGAATAATGCTGCTGTAAATGTGGGTGCACAAATGATCTCACCCTGCTTTCAATTTTTTGAAGTTATACCCAGAAGTGGAATTGCAGGGTACATGGTAACTTCATTTTAAAATGGCACCTCTGTACCATTTTTCCATAGCAGATGCACTTTTTACATCCACACCAATAGTCCAGAGGGGTTCTAAATCCTTCCACTTCCCACCAACCTTGTGGATTGTTGATTTTTTTTGATGATAGCCATTTTAATGGGTGTGAGGTGATATCTCATTGTAATTTTGATTGGTTATTCCCAGTGACCAATGACACCAAGCTCCTTTTTATTTGCTTAGTCCTCATTTATATATCTCATTTAGAGAAAGGTCTATTCCATTCCTGTTCTCATTTTTAATTGGGTTGTTTGTTTTTGTTGTTGAGTTTTATCTGAGCTTCCCCCCTGCCCCCAGTGGGAGTAGGTTTCTTGCAGGACCTTTGCTCTCTCAGCATGAAGCTAGTTTTTCTGGAGATGGCTAGCCAGGGGTGAGGACACAGCCTCCTTTGTGCCTCTGAGGTCTTCTTAGGGAGAACTAACATTTTCTTTCTTTCTTTTTTTTTTTTTTTTGGTGCTTGGGATTGAACCCAGAGCTTTGTACATGCTAAGCACATGCTCTACTACTGAACTCCACCCTGGCCCTCTGGAATCATATCGTGTGCTAGCCACTACACACACATATATGTATATATGTGCATGTGTGTGTGTGCATGATATAGATATCTCCTGAACCATTCTGTGGCTTTGTAGTTGAGAAGGCTGAGGCACAGAGAGGTACAGGGACTTGCTGCAGGTCACATAGTTAGACATAGCAAAACTGGAATCTGGATAATATTCATCTCATATGGAAGTCTCCACTGGCCTAGGCTACCTCCCTAGAGAAACTTTTGAGATTTCTATCTAGAAACAAGAACTGAACCAACTCCTTATTTACAGATAGGAAAAGCACCCAGTGACACCCAGTACTATCTCCTGGGCTTCACCAACACCAGCTGGGTATTCAGGTGCCCTGCGTGCATGTCAGCTTATTAATGTGCCTGCCCTTTGCTTCTTCACCCTCATGTATTACCTAAAGGCTGAGAAGGTACAGTGCCTGCTTCCTGCCTGTGACTCGTTTCTCAGGTCCTCTTCTCTATGGCTGGCTGCCTTCACTGAAGGTTCCAAGTCCTCTGAGAAAAAAGAAGCGTTGATTTTGATATTTGGCATGATTTGTCCTTGGAGGCCTGTCTCCAAAGGAAGCCTTGCCTCTCCCAAGAGCCTTTTTTTCTGATGCATGCGCATGTCCTCCTGAAGCAGAGAGCCTAGACTTTGTACTTGCACCTCACCTCTGCATCCCCACCTCCCTTGAGTTGACTTTCTCTTTCAGATTATTGGGATCACCAAAGAGAGTGACTGCACCTGAAAGCCTGGGGCCTCCACACCAAATCAGAGGAAAAAAAATCAGTCTTCTTCGGGCATGGCAGGTAATGGCTCATTATGGGGGAGTTAGACTTTTAATCCAAGATTGAATATATCATTTGATATTTTAAAAATCTAAACCTAAACAACACAGCAGTGTGTACAACCTATTTACACCGTGGATCACTCTCTGGAATTATCTTGTTTTGAATATTTTTAGTTTTCTTGTCCATTTTTACCCACTCCGGAAGGCAAGTTCCTCAAGAATGGAGGCCATACCTACCTTGTCTTTACCCTGCCTCCAGTTCCAGAAATCATCCCTCTGACATAGTAGGTCCTCAAAAAGTAGTTGTTCAGTGAGTGAGTGAGCCCCAATTTTAAACTACACTTTAAGTCCCAATTTTAAAATGATTTCGTCTCTACTTTTTTTTTTAATTATTCCATTTTTACTTTTTTTGTTGTTGTTGGTTCTTTGTTCTTTTTCTTTTCTTTTTTTTCAGTACATTTTTTTCATGTGTGGTAAGCGGAATCTCTGCCACTGAGCTCACCCCCGGCCCCATCTGTACTTTTGTGTTTGTTTATCATGCATGCAGGCACAGACACCTGCACACCTATACAGTGAATTTTGGAACTTATTTTTTTCACTCAACAATATAACATGGAAATGCTTTCATTTTAGAATATATGTATTCACTTTATTCTGTACATTCTACTATAGATTTGGATGTTTCGAACTTGGCACTACTGATATCTGGGGCCACATAATGCTTTGTTGTGGGGAGATCCCTGTGCCTTGTAGACTGTTTAGCAGAGTCCAGTGACTCTGCCTGCCCCCACCAGTGACAACCAGAAATGGCTCTGGAATTGGGAAATATCCTCTGACAGGCAACACTGCCCCTAGTTGAGAAACATTGGTGTAGGATTTCATTCACACCCATTCTCCTGGTAAGCCCCCAAGTAGAATTCCTTTATAACATTGGAGTCGGAAAAAGCCAAAATTAATAATTTACTTAACTCATGGAATTCAGCCCTTTACATTCAATTGAATACCCGGCTTCAAGCTAATATATGTATTTTCTCCTCAAGATCCTAGACTGCAAAATTTAAGTCAAGTATTTAACATTTTAGACTTAGATGTTACCAGAGCAAATCACCAAGTTACCTTCTAGAAGAATTCAGTACATAATCCCACAGACTCTCATGAATGTGGACGATACTGTGTTCAGAAGCCTCTGCTGTTCGTGATACAGCTAGTGCCTATAAAATCTGTTCTTAGAGTCCTCTTTGCCTTAGCATTGCCACCAAGATATGGCTTTCACCTAGTCCTGCCTTCCTCAAGGGACAAGGGGACAGTTCCTCGTGTTTTGTTTAAGTGCCCAGTTGCCATGAACCTGGAAGATGGAAGTAGAATGTGCCAGCCTGAAAGGGGCCATAGCTGTAGGGTTGGCACAAAAGATGAGTTCTGATAGCTTTTTATTTTGGTGTTGGGGAGTCAGGCTAAAACTTCTGATAGAGCTAACCAGATTATATCAGGCTTTTAAAGATTAATTGTGTAGTTTCGTTTTGAGAAGACATAATTTGGCCTGCTGTGTTTGTATGTACAGGTTGAGCATCCCTAAAGCTCCAAAACATTTTTCAGCTCATGACTCTAAAATACTCTAAAATCCAAAATTCTCTGAACACAAAATTTCAGATTTTAGAGTATTTCTGATTTTGGATTTTCATATCATGGATGCTTTACCTAGAAAGTCTACACAAATATTCCAAAATTTGAAAAATATGAATTCAAAAATACTTCTGGCATTTCAGATAAGGAATACTCAACCTATATTTGCACACTCAAGTAAAGATGAACTATGATATAACTGAATTTAAAAATGTTAATTTTAAAACTGTCATCCAGTAAGATCATTGGTATTGCTTAGCTTCAACGGCAGTGATGCATCTAAGCATATAATTTTCATCTTAGTCTTCATGGGATTTTGACAAAGGAGAATGGCTGTTCAGTAGGAAATGTTCCTTCTCCTGATGTAGGTAAGAAAGTGCTCATTGTCTATGCACACCAAGAACCCAAGTCTTTCAATGGCTCCTTGAAGAAAGTGGCAGTGGATGAATTGAGCCAGCAGGGATGCACCGTCACCGTGTCTGATTTGTATGCCATGAACTTTGAGCCAAGGGCCACAAGGAAAGATATCACTGGTGAGTCACGACATAAATGCTTGGTTATTTTTTAACTTTCTTCTTTGTATTCTTTAATTTTAACATGTCTTAAAAAGCTAATCATTGCACAAAATATGTAAATCTCAGGTCAGCAAGGAGTCCAAAGTGCCAGGCTCTTTTCCCTCCTATCCCCCAGCAACCCAGTTTCTCTGTTCCCAAGGTAGTCAGGATGTAGTTTTCTCTGTGTCCTTTCTGAGATAGTCCTTGCTATATAAGCAGTCATGAGAGTATTCTTCATTTTTCCTCTACATTTTACAAAAACGGAAGCATATTATGCTCATCATTTTACAAGTTGCTTTTATTTTTCTTATTGTAGAAAGTATTCCGTTGTATGGCCATGTCATGGTATCTCCCTACTAAAGGACATTTTAGGTTGTTTCTGATCTTTTGCTATCAAAAACAATGCTGCAGTGAACAGTCAGAGTCATATGTGTTTTCCCACATATGCAAGTTCGTCTAGAAGAGTGTGCATTTTAATTTTCCTAGATAATGCCAAGTTGCTCTCCATAAATCTCATACCAGTTTACATTATTGTCAGCAATGTTTACAAATGTTATTTCCTCACTGTCACCAATAGTATTGCCATTTTTTTTTTATAATTGCCAGTCTAGCAGGTGAAAAGATAGTGTTCCAAATAGTTCTAATTTGTCCTCTCATTGTGAGGTTTAATATCTTAATATTTATATTCTATTTATTAATACTTATTTGTATTAACATTTTATTTTTATTTTTAACTAACATTTAATAAAATATTAAATATTCTCTTTCCGGTGAATTATCTATTCGTATCATCTGTTCATTTTTCTATTGAGTTGTTAGTCTTTTTATTATTGATTTTAAAAAGTTCTTATATATTAAAAAACCTATAGTATGGAATATGAATTGTAAATCCTTTTTTTAAATAATCTTTTTTTAGTTGTTGATGGACCTTTATTTATTTACTTATTTATATGCAGTGCTAAAAATCAAACCTAGTGCCTCACACTGCTAAGCAAGCACTCTACCACTAAGCCACAACCCAAGCCCCAAAATACTTTTACCTAATTTGTTTTTGTTTTTGTTTATTTGACTTTGCTTATGGTGACTTTTTCCTTTAGCTTCCATTTACTTTCATTTAGTTAATATTTGATCAGTCTTTTTCATTTATGACTTCAGGAATTTGTTATATTTACATGAACTCCAAGCTTGTAAGAAAAAGTGTTTTATGTTTTTTTCTAATATTCTATAGGTGCTACTTCTAATTTTAAGTATTTTATATATTTCAAATTTATTTTGGCATATGATTTGAAATATGGGCCCAATTTCTTCTCCAATGCCTACCTAGTTGTCATATTACCACTTACTGCATGATTCAGCTATTTGCCCTTGATTTAAATGCCACCTTCATTGTGATCCAAATTCCCACTTCTTAAATTCTATTCTACTTGTTTTAACATCTTTTATTTTTATTTATTGTGGTTCTGGGGATTAGGCAAGCACTTTTCAACTAACTACATTCCAGTTTATTAGTTCTACTCCTATTTTTTTTTCCCACATCCACATGGTTTAAATTATTTTGGCAAATAATACAATTTAATATCAGCTAGAATAGGTCACTTACATTTATCTTATTTTCTAATTTTTCTAACTATTTTACTTTACCTTTCCATAAAAGCTTTTTTTTAATATTTATTTTTTAGTTTTCGACGAACACAACACCTTTTTTGTATGTGGTGCTGAAGATCGAACCCAGGCCGCACGCATGCAGGCGAGCGCGCTACCGCTTGAGCCACATCCTCAACCCTCCATAAAAGCTTTTGAATCAGCCATCTAGATTCAAAAAGAAGCCTGATGGTATTTTCATCCAGGTCCCATTAAATGTGTAGATGAACTTGGGATGAACTGACCTTTCATGCTGATTTTCTCTAAGAGAATGGTGTAACCTTCCATCAGGTCTAATTTTATAATGGGTGTATTTGTATATTTTCATCATACAGTTCTTATTTAATTCTTACCAACCGACAGTAGCTTTTTGATGTGAAGAGGAGTGTGTGTGTGCAGCCCACTCCTAGTTTCCTTCTTGTTTGTAATACTTTTCAGGTGATTCTTTGGGACTTTCCAGACATGCAGCCAAGTCATCTACAAATAATGACAGTTGTACCTCCTCTTTTCCAGTATTTAAAATCTCAGATTTCTTTGTAGTTCTGTTAACTACATCTCCAGATACAATATTCAGTACTCATCCTGTGTGTTTTTTGGCTTTTTTTTTTTTTTTTTTTTTTTTGGTAATAAATCACCTGGGGCTGGGGTTTGCCTTGCATGCATAAAGTTCTGGGTTTGACCCTTAGCACTGCAAAATCATTATCATCATCATAAAGTATTTTCTTTTAGCAAACAGCAACAATTTTTTCTATTTCTCTAGAAAAATAGAGAACAGTGGGATAAGGAGCTACTGGTTTGTTTGCCACTGGTTTTTTTTGGGGGGGGGGGGGGGTGGGGGGTGTTGTTTGTTTTGTTTTTTTAAATCTGTACCAGGGATTGAACCCAGGAGCATTTATAACCCCTGAGCTGCATCCCTAGCCCTTTTTATGTTCTATTTGAGACAGGTTCTTGCTAAGTTGCTTAGGACCTGGCTAAGTTGCTGAGGCTGGTCTTGAACTTGTGATCCTCCTGCCTCAGCCTTCTGAGCTGCTGGGATTACAGGCGTGAGCCTCCACACCCAGCTTGCCACTAATTTTTAAGTGAAAAAGCCAACTCAAATTCAATGTCTATTTTGGGGGGTAAATTGGGGGGTTGAATCCAGGAGTGCTTTACAACTGAGCTACATTCCAAGCCCTTTCTGTTTTTCATTTTGAAAAAGGGTCTTGCTAAGTTGCTGAGGCTGGCTTCAAACTTGAGATCCCCTGCCTCAGCCTCCCAAATTGCTGAGGTTAAAGGTATAAGCCATCATGCCTGCTTACTGTAAAAAGTATTTTAAAATATAGGCAACCAAAGGCTAAAAAGTGCAAGCCCCTTTCACATATCCTCCAGGTCTGCACCACAGCCCTGAGGCAAGCATACTTAACTTTCTGGAGTGGGTTGTTGTAGATCTTATTCTAGATATTAACAAAAGTACATACCATGTGTAATTTTGAAACTCTGTAGATATATAGTGAACCTTCTGTATCTGTGGATTTCTCATCCACAGATTCAACTAACCCTGAAAATATTTGGAGCTGGGCGTAGTGGCATACATTTGTAATCCCAGCAGCTCAGGAGGCTGAAGCAGGAGGATCACAAGTTCAAGACCAGCCTCAGCAACTTAGCAAAGCTCTGTCTCAAAATAAAAAATTAAAAAGGTTTGGAATGTAGCTTAGTGGTTAAACACCCCTGGGTTCAATCCCCAGTGCCAATTTAAAAGGAAGGAAGGGCTGGAATTGTGGCTTAGTGGTAGAATGCTTGCCTGGCACGTATGAGGCACTAAGTTTGATCCTCAGCGCCACATAAAAATAAATAAATTAATTAAATAAAAAGCTTAAAAAGGATGCTATAAAAAAATAATAAAAGGGAGGTTGGGGCTGGGCTCAGCGGAAGCGCACTTGCCCGGCATATATGAGGCACTGGGTTTGATTCTCAGCCCTGCATAAAAATAAATAAAATAAAGGTCTGTCAACAGCTAAAAAAAAACTTTAAAAAATAAAAGGAAGGAAGGATGGAAAAAAGAAAATATCTAGGAAAAATTGCACTTGTAGTGAATATAAAAACATTTTTTCTTGTCATTGTTCTGTAAACAATACAATATAACAACTACCTACATAGATTTACCTTGCATGAGATATTAGAAGTCATCTAGAGATGATTTAAAGTCTACAAGAGGATGTTTCTAGGTTCTATGCAAATCCTACACAATTTTATGTAAGGGACTTGGGCTTCCATGGATTTTGATAACCTGGAAAGTCCTGGAACCAAACGCCTGTGGATACTGAGGGATAACTATAGGTATAAAGGGCCCAGAGGGGTCTCAGGCTTGATGTAATATGGCAGCTATGACCCCATCTAATTACCTCCCTGGTGCCACACAGCCTCTGGCCTACAATAGTTACTCTCTTTGGTTTTCTTGAAAAGACAAGATTTATACCTAGAAGCACTGGGTGTGTATTCTTTGAATGAAAATCAAATACAAATAGGTTAAAAGAGGAAGCAAAGAACATTCTTTTTTTTTTTTTTTTAATTACAAATTGATGGCTAGTTCACTTCCCTTTGTGGCTTTTCTCAAAGTGACTTCAGGTTTGCACATGGAACAGTGGAGGAAGTCACACTTGCTCCTCTAGTCATCCCACCTCTGTGCCTGCCTCTGCTACTTAGGAATCGGGTGTCACCAAACTACTAAGCTCTGTAAAGTTTGGCTTTCTCACTGGTAAAGAACTAGTATGATGTCATCAGTTGTTAGGAGCATAAGAAGGGTGATGGGTGCACAGCACAGCATCTGGTGGGTGGGAAATGCTCACTGAGTGGCCCTGGTAGGTTCCTTCTCGTACCCTAACTGGGTTGGGTCACAGCAAATGTCATTGACTCACTTTGAGGAGTCCAGACGCACACAGCATTAGTGAAATTGTTGGGACAGGCTGTGACCTCTCACCTGGAAGTGAGAGCACTTGGCTCTTTCCTCAGGTGACCTTTCTAATCCTGAGGTCTTCAGTTATGGGGTGGAAGCCTATGAAGCCTACAAGAAAAACTGTCTAACCAGTGACATCACTGAGGAGCAGAAAAAGGTGCAGGAAGCTGATCTCGTGATATTCCAGGTTTGTTTTTCCTTTAATTAATGTATTGAATGAGATTCGTCCTACATAAGACTCTTTGCAAATACTACATTCTACACTCCTAGAAGTGGCAACAGTGTTTTCTTAGCACATTTTCACACACTTACTGGGTGAGTGTTGTACCACAGTACTTAGTTACAACACTTAGTTGTAACACTTACCTAGTTACAACACTTTACTTAGTTTAGTAGAGAGATTCATGCAGCCATTATAGAGTTCTGACCTCCTGTGTAAACAGGAGTGAATTTTTCTGTTAGCCCAGTGGTCCACAAACAGTAGAATCATGCAGGTCTTGTTGTGTTCATTTTCTTTAAGTCCCCACCCTGTACATGCTGGGCCACTTGAAAGCCAGTTTTCTCTACCCAACTGTTTATCAAAGATGTGGGTCAAAGGCCTCAAATGTTTATCAAGGTAATATCAGTCAAAGGCCTGATTATTACGGGGAAAAACTTTTGTTTCCATCTTCTCACTAGTTGAAACACACACACACACACACACACACACACACACACACACACCAGCCACTTTACCTGTATTTGACCCAAGGAGAATATAGGCTCCTTTCTGCCATTACAGAAGAAGCAGTCAAGTAAACACATGTGTTTAGGGTAATTTGTGGGTTAACAGAAATCCACGTCAAACTGGAAAGAAAGGGGAGTTCATACCAAGGGCTTTGGTCACTTGAGTCTCCTAGACAAGCAGCACAGAGCTGTGGCTGGGCTACAGGGACACAGGACCCAAGCTGGAACATCTCTGATATCTTCTTCACCAGATTCCATCCACATCTCCCTGCACCTTGGCTCTGTTCTCTCTTTTTTTTTAACTTTTTTTTTTTTTTTAGTTGTAGTTGGACACAATACCTTTATTTTATTTACTTATTTTTTATGTGGTGCTGAGCATCAAACCCAGCTCCTCGCACATGCTAGGCAAGCACTCTAGTGCTCAGTCACAACCCCAGCCCCTGGTTCTGTTTCTCTTGCTGCATGCCAAGGCCTTGATTCCCTAGATCCAGAATTTCCAAGCAAGGGATCTGATTAGTCCCAGTTGACACCCAGATTTTAACAACTCACCCCAGGTGTGGGAACTGTATGATCTTTCCACACCCTTCTTCTCAGTCGTTGATTGGCTCAGTCACAGGACTGCTGCCCCAAAGCCAGTGTCAAGTTTTCATCTCTTCCCTATGCATGGGGATCAGCATCAGCAGGGTGCAGAGCCAACATAATAGCAATAGGACCATTTTTCAACTACACCCCTTCCCACTATCACCACACCTCAGAGCTGGCCATGTTTATTACCCTTATCCACCCAGCCACCAGGGAGGAGGAGAGTGGAATTTGTTCTGTATCACCAAACAGACTAACTTATGAATCCTGAGACAAGCCACAGTATTTCTTCTTCCTTATATGCTGTCCCCAGTTTCCACTGTACTGTTTCAGCGTGCCAGCTATCCTGAAGGGCTGGATGGACAGGGTGCTGTGCCAAGGGTTCGCCTTCGACATCACAGGATTCTATGATTCTGGTTTTTTCAAGGTATGTGCTCTAGGGACAAGGATCACTGGACTATTAGAGAGGAAGGAAGGAGGAGGCAGCTATCAAGTTATAGTTTGCTGCTGCTTTTTTTTTTTTTTTTTAAGTAAGTGCTGATTGAGCATCTGCTATGTGCACAGCATTGAGTGCTGGACACAGATGAGGAAAACCATCATTTCTGAATTTGTGGATCTTTCTGTCTAGTGGATGTGGGGGCTGAGTATTGGGCTAGGGATGAAGTGGGCAAGTTAATATGGGCAGAAAAGTGGTCAGCCCTGGCTCCAGAGGTCATCTACTCCATGATGGAGAGACCATCCCTGGCCTTATGAGTTCATCCCTCTGAACTTCACATGTGGGCCTGATGAAACAAGATAAGGCAACACCCACACTGTACAGTGAGAAATGCATCGAATCTGGTAGAAGCACAATGTTAGCAGCTATGAATTTCTTACTAAAAGAATTTCCTGCTAAAATTAGAGACTCAAATTCTGAAAGCCTCAGAAAATGAGTGTATGTGAGGAAAGCAAATCTCATAAACAAGATCTGTCTTGGACCACGAGTGACACCATCATTTACTGAGTGGCCACTGAGTGCTGGGCTCCACTCCTCCTCAGCTCTGTAGATAGCACCTAAGTAGTGACCACTTACATGGTGTCTCTGGAAGCTGGCTTCTGCTGGAAGTCTGGGCATGTTAGAGCTTTTGCGTTCACTTGGTCCCTTTGTTTCATTCTGCCTCCTGTTGGGATATAGCTGTCACCTGTGGATGGGCCTGTGGGAGATGTGAGTGACCCCCTATTTTCCCCTGGCCATTGTAAACCTTTTTGCCAGCATCACAGTAGCACTCACATCCTCTTCTGGCATCCGCATTAAATGCATTTGCTCTCTCTTCTGCAGGATAAACTAGCCCTCCTTTCCTTAACCACGGGAGGCACAGCCGAGATGTACTCAAAAGCAGGGGTCAGTGGAGATTTTCGGTACTTTCTGTGGCCACTCCAGGTAAACAGATGACAAAAGGCTTCCATGCCATGCTAGCCTGTTGTACATCCCCACCTCTCCAAGGTGTGAAATGACATGTGATGTGAGCGTGCCACCCCACACCATTCTCACTGTATTTGGATACAGACAGTAACATTTTGCCCTTTTGAATTCTGACTTGGGAGCATTGAAAAGGCTGATCAATAGGGAATATGTATTGTAATTGTAGCCTCTGAGATTTGGCCCAAAGCTAAGCCAAACCTGGTTAGCTTGTTGTCTGCTTTGTGGAGACTAGAATGGCTCTGAGGTAGTTCCAGGTGTGTGTGTGTGTGTTTGTGTGACGAGCATGTGGGAGGCCCAAGAGAGCCTTTCATGCAGACCCTCAGCCCTGGCGAGAGGTGCCCCCGGCCCTGTGTTCCATGTAGCCTCTCAGGAGCCTCTGCTGGCTGAGCTCCCCGTGGAGATAGCCCACACTCCAGGGACCCACGGCTCTGAGCTTCCCCACTCTGACCTGCTCTCCGAGGTGGACTCTTGATGCCTGTGAGAACACCCTGGGCCTGATGAGTAGCCAAGGAGTGGGCATCTGCCAAGGGGAAGGCAGTAGGCAGAGTGAGTTCTAGCAGTCTCGGTTGTCCATGTGCAAAGTGCTCCCCAGTGAGGGACAGAGCAGGGGGCAAGGATGCAGAGAAGCACACTCTAGGTGAGGGACTCTGAGGAGACCTGAAGCTTCCAGGCTGTCATGAGAGATTTCTATCAGAGGAGAGCATATATAGAGAAGAGCACAGCCTGTGAGCTTGTTGTAAAAGATATAGATGTTGTGGCAGTAGAGAGTATACTCAATGGTAGAGCACACACTTAGCATGCATGAGGTGCTGGCTTTGATTCTCAGCACCACAAAAAAAAGGAAAGAAAGAAAATCAAAAGAAGAAGTAGGAATTGCCTTTTTTCTGTGAACTTGCTTTGCCCACGGGTCTGTTTTTTTTTAATTGATTTATCAGCATTCTAGATGTTAGCAAAATTAATCCTATTGTGTGTCTTTTCAAACCATGAAAACCTTCCTTCCAGGTAGTTCACATTTATTTTTAAGTGAATTCCTTTCCTTTGTTGCTGATTTTGTCAACTTTTTCATTGTGTCTTCTAAAACTTAGTTCTGTATTTATGGAGGCTGTTGATTTCCAAGTACTACTTTTTCACCCAGACCATTTCTGATTTCTTCTGTTGATCATAATGGTGCTTCTGAAAAGCTGACTTCTGGAAATAATGTTGTGTGAGAAAAAATACTGTAGTAAGAGGTGTGTGAGCCTCTCCCACTCCACCTACCCCCCTGATTGGGGCAGGCCTGGACCAGGATGTGGGTTTTAAAGAAAGCAGTGCACAGGACTGAGTGTGAGATTTCTAAGAAAACAAGTGATCCTTTTTGAAAGGAGAAAGAATAGTGATTCCAACTAGTGACACTCCGCTGAAGTACGAGAGGACAGTTAACAAGTCTGAGCTTCCTTCTTCACAGGCCCACTTACATTCTTTCTTTTTTAAAAAAAAAATCTCTACTTTTTTTTTCAGTTTGCAAAAATACATGTTACAGGACAAAGGGAGATAATGTAAAAAAAAATAATAATAAAAAGTCCCCTCAATCTATAACCCCACAAAATCATCACTTTTAATCACTTGGTTTATTTTATTAAGACCCATATATATTCTTGTACACATAACTTTTATTAATAGGTTAGTTATGTTTATTGCTCTTTTATATAAATGGCATACAACAAGGAATGCTTAAAATTTGTAGTTTTCGTTTAACAAATAACTTCAACTATAGTGACATACTATATCTAGGAAAACCTTAGTCTAGAATGATCCATCCTATGAAGGTTCCATAATTTGTCTTGTCAATCAAAACAGTCACATTTAGGGTTGGAAACAGCAGTAATAATTGCAGGTGAAAATCTGTAAATGCTGGTTGCTCCGTGCTCTTCTGCCCATTTATTCCTCACATCCTGAGGTGAAAAGGAAGTCCAGGTTTCCAGACCTCGGAGCTTTGGAGCTGTTTTATTTTTTGAAGGTTTATTTTTTGTCATTCTCCCTTTGATCATTTCACTGAATCATACATCAAGGATGTGGTTTCTGATCAGTTCTTTTCTTTATGTCTTCAGCATGGCGCTTTGCACTTCTGTGGATTTAAAATTCTTGCCCCTCAGATCAGTTTTGCTCCTGAGTTTTCATCAGAAGAAGAAAGAAAAGCAATGGTGGCATCTTGGGCCCAACGATTAAAGAGCATCTGGGAGGAAGAGCCCATCCGCTGCACACCCCCTTGGTACTTTGGGGAATAACACTGTGTGTCCCATGTACATCGTGTGCGCGATGCAGTTAAGAATACATGCAAGGAGATGGTACTGTCAAAAATAAAATTAGGGGCTGGGGATGTGGCTCAAGCGGTAGCGCGCTCTCCTGGCATGCGCGGGGCGCTGGGTTCGATCCTCAGCACCACATAAAAATAAAATAAAGATGTTGTGTCCACCAAGAACTAAAAAATAAATATTGAAAAATTCTCTCTCTCTCTTTAAAAAAATAAATAAATAAAATTAGAACAAAGTGAACTGGATAGAGTTAATAATCACTATGAAGTCACTATGAATGAGTGATCTCAAGAGTTTTATACAGCTGTTATAGTTAAAGCTTCGTCCCAGGGTTTCATAAACTGACTTCCAGACCACTCATGTATAATCGAATCAAGCCTTTATTGTAGCACACTGGTGGCGACTAACCATAACATAAAGCTGTTCCCCTGATCAGCCCTGAACAATTGCAAGGGCACTCCTTATAAGCCTGAAAACCACAAAAGAGATGTTCGGGGGGGTCTAGCCAATGCAAGGAAGCCAGGTTACAGAAGTGGGACAGTGCAGTCAAGCGGAGGGAAGCCTAACCAATCACAGTTAGCCCAGTCACCCCAGTTACAGAAACAGAGCCCCATTACCCTAGTTAAAGAAACAATACTCCATAAGGTAGTTTTGTGTTCTTAAAGGTTTCTATAGCAAAAGGAAAAGAACATCTTGCCCCAGTCATGACTCTTCTACTTGGCATGGTTGTTTTACAGGATGAAGTCATAAAACCAAATGGAGTCACATTTGCTCCTACTATCACGCAGCCAGATCAGATATTGCAATCATCAGTTTACTGTATTGAATTCTGCTGACTGGAAATTATTTACTTAAGCTTTCATTTCTTTAATGTGTGTTTAATATCTATCTTGCTATGTTCAACCTTCATGATAATTTTAATTTTCAGATAGTTCTCTGGACATGAAGCTTGATTTGTATTTTTCTGTTTGTTTTTGTTTCATAACTCAGCTGGCATAACTCAACTAGAGAATTTTTGCTTTTTCCCCAGGAAGCTTAATCCATTCGTAGCTAATGTTTTAGTTCTTTATTGGGATATATCTCCCCTATTTTCTTTTCACTTGCATTATTACTATGAAGTTTTAATTGAACAGCTGGTTAGCATGTACTTGGAGCCATTATGTGCTGGTTACAGTAAAAATTTCAAAGCATTAGCTGAACGGCATTCTGCCGCTATGCACATGGTCCCGTGACACCACTGCTAATTATCCTGAAGCACAGGAACAGGTAGATGGAGGAATCTCTCTGAATGCAAGTTTAAGGGATCACATATTCATCGTCATCATCATTCCTTCCCCCTGTTGTCACTACTGAAGAAAGAGCCTGTGCCCAGGGGCCCTTCTTCCTTAACCTTCCCAAAGCCACTCTTAGCCACCCTCATTGGTCTGCTCAGACAGCTTCCTGCTGGAGTTACCATCTTGGTCCTCCTGTCCTCTGCGTCTTCATCTTGCTCCTCACCTGCGTCCCTCCCCCTCTTCAGCAGCATCTTCAGACCCTTTTCCAGCTGCATTTTCTAGCAGATACTTTTCCAGATACACCTTCTCTTCTGAGTCTTCACACTCTCTTGGGGGCTTTCCTCACTGAACATGCATCATCTTCAGATAATGATCTTTCCAAGCCATTTTCTTCTCCCTGTTTTCAGGATAATTTTTCAGTATTATTTTTGGAGCCATCTTCAAGTTACTTTTCAGAGTAGTCTTTAGACTTTCTGAGGAATCTTCAGACTTTTTCCAAGTACCTTCTTAGAATTATCTTTTGGGGCTTCTTTTCAGGGGCTAACTTCTTTAGCATTTTTTTTCAGAAGCATTTTCTTCAAAATTTCCCCATCTTCTGCTTTTTTTTTTTTTTTCCCCAAGCATTTTTTCATGAATAGGTCCTTTAAATACCATTTACTGTGGCCTCTTGAACATCCATCCTGGATGTGCTAGGGTACCCCCAAAATGCTTTACTTTAGAAAGTCCTGCTCTTTAAGAGGTAAAGATGAAATTGGAACCCTGAATGCCTTTGTTGGCCCCAAGGGTATTAAAAGAAGTCTCCCACCCTCTTAGCTTTGCAGTCTCTTCAACCCTGTCCTCTGCAGATCCATCCCATGCCTTGAGGGGAATTTCTAGCCACCAAACTACCATCCACCAAAATTTGAATGCAATGACCCAGGATGCATTCCTCCAGGATGCAGAGGTTGACCACTGAGGCATCTGCCAAAGAGGAGGAGCCTCCTAAATGACCCAAACTTCACCTAGTCCCAGGAGGTGCTCCCTCAGCATTTATTGGAGAGCAAGGGCAGCACCCTCCTTATGCATCCAGCCCTGGATCACAGACAGCAGATTGTGACTCTCAGCAAGAGTCTAGCACCCTGTATAATGGGCATGCATCTCCAGGGGGAAGAAATTGTGGACTTCAGGCCAATCATATATGTTTAGTGTATATTGCTTATTCCCACAAACTGCCCTGGCTCTTGATAGGAAACTGTAGGTTAGGAAGACCAGACAAGGCCAGAGAGACCCAGAAAAAATACCCTAGACAGATCCTTTCTCCCTGTTGCCTCAGGATATATTTAGCAGCATAACTCCCCTCCCCATCCCTTGCTCAGTGGCCTGCAGCTTCCAAGAGCCTAGCAGGTAGAAAGACTACAACACTCACCCTTTAGAGTCTCATCCTAGGATCCTTGTAGGTTGCTGGACCCAGACTATGAACAATTAGGAAGTCCTCCATTCTCTCTTAACAACTCCAAAGTGTCAGGGTGAGAAGATGGGAATTTCAAAGGTAGGACTTCCCACTGCCGTACTAGTTCCTCAAGACCTATTGCCCTGAGAGATGATGTCTTTAACTTGGCCTTGCATATGCCAAGAGCATTAATTCTGCCTCCCAAGCAAAATTGCTTACAGTTTGAGAACTGAGACCTTACTTAGATCCCATCAGCTCATCACCTTCCTATACCAATCACTGTTTCTTTAAATCTTATTGCTGAAAAACTTAAAAAGAAAATAACTTGAGCATCACCAGGGCAGCAGGAAATTATGGTAATAACTGTTTGAAAAAGAAAAGGAAATGACTGAAGACTTGGCTGTGTAATAAAACTCCGTTTCTCTCAAGCACAGGCCCCTGGTGGACTTACAATGGTCTCTGGTAGTTGAGTGTCTGGGTGGAGGTTGGTAAAAAAAGAGGAAGGATATGTATGTTGCTTAATGTAAGAAAATCTCAGGAATTGGGGGGAAATTTTGGTGAATCCGGAGCACAGTTGTTGCCTTATACCCTGAGGAGACAGCAGTGGGCATAAGTCTCAAGACAAGGTAAACAGCCCCAGAAAATCATGACAGGACAGGGATGAGGAAGGAGGTGGTTTGTGAGCTGTTCAACCCGTCCTGTCCCACACAGCCCTCCCACTGACAGGTGTGTGCTCAGGTGACTGTTTTCCCCTTAAAGGTTTCTGGGGGGGGGGGGGGGGGGGGGTTGAACCCAGGGGGCCGCATATAAATAAATGAAAAAGCCAAAGATTGATTAACATCTAAAAAATTAAAAAAAAAAAAAAAAAAAAAAAGAAATGTGTTTCTCTTCTTAGAATATTCCAATACAAGGCACTTGCCTGGTATGGTATTAATTGGCTCAGTACTGCAGAGAGCAGTCTGTCAAGAAAAAAGAGTTTGACCACAGCAGACCATTCTGTTTACAGGAATGAATTCTAGGACTGGAGTTGCGGTTCAGTGGTAACATTTGCCTAGCATGTGCTAAGGCCCTGGGTTCCGCACCTAGCAGTGAAAAAAAAAAAAAAAAAGGAAGAAAGAAAGAAAGATTCATTCTAGGGAAGTAGAAAGTAATTTTATTAATTAAATATTTTGTTCTTTAGCAATGCTGTTTATAATAGAAAAAAATAGCCGATGTAAATACTTTACCTGTGTTAATAGCTCATTTAATCCTTGTAACATCCCCATGAGCCCTATGAACAAGTGGCAATCCCTACTTACAGGTGAGGCAGAGTTAGGGTCATAACTTGCCCAAGGGTCATAACTATAGAGAGGCAGATGTAGGCTTTGAAAACAGACCATGGCCACCAATTGTGCTGTTATGTGGCAGATGTTAGGAACAGTTATCTTTACCTGTCCTACATTGTTTCTGTTCCTTTTGATGGCAACATTCTGATCTTCCTTGGGGAATTGTCCTTTTGACAAGACTCATGTTTATGGGTGCGACCTCTCCTCTGTACCTAGGAGCAGCCACTGACAGACCTTATCAATCACAGTGAAACCAGAGTTTCTCTGCTTCTCCTCGTGGGTGGGGTCGGCATAAGCTGAAAGCATCTACAGCCATGAAAGGCTGTTTCTTCTCCTACCATTGAGCAACATGGTGCAACTCTCAATGACACGCTATGCCCTTCAGTGTTGCAGCAGACCCCAGTAGCTTGCTGCCAATTTCTTCTGTCTGGGTTCTTGTCTTGTGAATTCAAAGAATGAAATCCAAAGACCCATTGATGCAGAGGAGTGTAAAAGTAGAATTTATCAAGTGTGAATAGATGCACAGCTCCCACAGGCAGCAGGACCTGGTGGAGGTTGCAGCTTGAGAGTGCTAGTCTCAGGGTTTATATAGCACTTGGGTCAATGCTGTTGGTCCCAATTTATGCTAATCAGAGTTTGGGAACGCACTAGCTTCTGTTGGTTAAGAGTTACGCTAATCAGATTTGGGGAAAGTTAATGCTATTGGTTAACCCTTGAGTTCTATTCAGGTCTGCTCCACTCCATTTTCTCATTGTTTGCCTTCAGTCCCAGCTGCCCAGGAGGTTGAGGTTGGTGGATCATGGATGCTTAGGGGTTCAGAGCTGCAGTACTGTGTAGAGTGGGCATCTGCACCAGCCCAGACTGGGCCTGGCTACCACTGTGCAACAAGTCAGCGTACCCTGGATCACACCCTCAGGCTCACACTAGCATGGTGGGCTCTTCATGACAGGGCCCATGCTCAGTGCCCCACTCCAGCCCACTCTGTCTGCCATCTCACAGCTCCCAGACAAGGGCTCGGCTTCCACAGTATTCCATTGCCCAGCAATAACCTAAACAGACAATGAGATTAAATGCAGGGATTAATT